CCAGGCAGTTCTCCAGCCACTCTTCCCTGAGTCTATAGCGATGCTTGGGGTTTTTATACCCCAAGTGAAGTTGTGTTAGATGACTTAGTGTGAGATGTGCAGTACTTACTTCACATGGCAATTCAGCACTGAAATGCCTAAAGGCTACAGCCTTTAGGTTTCGGAGCCACAAGGATGTGCATACACAGTATATTGTGTCATTTAGCACATTTAAAGCAACACTAAAGGAAAAATGTAAGAAGCCTAAGAATGGCTTTCTATCAATGATATCCATGGGTCTAGATATAGTTGTTTGTGCATCTAATGATAAAATGTCCCTAGCTTTGTGGGTCATAAGCTGTATGATTTGGCCTTGTCAACCAAAGCATGTACTTGTAACAGGCACATTAGTCCCTCTGTGCACTGCATTTTCTCATAAGGAAACTGATCTGTTATCCACTGCTGTGAGCCCTTTCCTAGATAATTACCTTGATCTACACATGAAGCACAGAGAAATGTCTCAACAGCTAACCAATAATTTGGCAAAATCTCATTATCAACAGGCCTCTGGAGAATACAAAATGTCCTAAAAATTAGAGGACACAGTTATCACTCTATAAGCACAAAGACCCATCACATAAGATGGGTTAATTAATCCAGTCTTTGACAGCTGCCTGTTTAGGTTCTCATTTCTGGAAGGGTTTACACTTAAACCTGTCAGTTCCAGTGCATGTTGCGAACTAAAATTTTGAAGCAATGTCTTTGGTAGAATACAGGCTGTCAATGAAACCAATGACGCTGTGGATCAACAAGGACACTCCAGAAAGCAGAGATACAGGGAAAATTAGTAAGCATAGCCAACAGCATGGCTTCAGAGTCCTGTACTCAGAGATCGGGCTTTGGAATCGATTTACCAGTGTGAATGAATTTTTTGGTTACAAAAGAAGTGGTGAAAAGTGGTGAATAGGTGTCTTGCCCTGCAGCCTGCATTATTCTTGGTAACAGACTATACATAACTCACTGCACATCCTGCTTGAAGTGCATTCAAGCATGTGGAAAGAATGAGGGCTTCTGGTCAGACCCTACTTCCAGAAATGCCTTTGAAGCACCTACAGATGATAGATATGATGGGCAACAGCAATATCCAGAACAAGTCCCTGGACAACGTATCTCAGAGGAAACCAGTGCCTCAAAAAGCATTGAATCTTTGGACTCTTAAATCTGCAATGGCCAGTCTGCACATCTCATCAAACAGTTTTGACCCCAGAAAACTGGCTCTTTTAATTTCTGTGACTGCATGCCCCAAATGGCTCACTGTCTCACAGCAGTAGGATTTAGCCAAAATTATTTCTCAGTCCCGTTCCTTCCTTTCTCAGTTTGCCTCTCATTTACTTCAGTGGGAAATCTACCTGTTCTCAGTACAGAAAGTAAGAGATTTCCTTTCTTGATATGTGAAATAACTCTGAAGGCACGAGTTATACTACATATATTTAATGTCTGATTGGCTAAAACTTCCCCCAAATTATTATTTTGCTGCAGGGAAGATCCCCTCAACATATGTTGCAGGGAGATCCCCCCCAAAGATAGGAACCTTTTTCCTCTTTGCTTCGTTACGATGCTAGCACAAACAATTCATTTAAAATTGCCAGTGACAGCACTCAGTGCTGCAAGCTTTAACTTTTTTATATCAAACCTCTCCTTCAAGATACCATTTCTCCTGCAGCAGACAACATGGTGCCTATTTCAGCTAGGGAGGTAGGAGCTGGGATGACTAAGCTGTCTCTGGTAACAAGCTCTTAGTTTTACAGACTTTGAAATGAACTGCTTGGACAAAGGGAATAGTCGTGGTTGCAGTCTGATAAGAGCAAACATTCAACCATGTGTATGCCAGACAGCCTTCTGTGGGGGAAGAAGTAAAACAGGCGAGCATATGTAAGTTATATGCTGAAATAAACATCATGATAATTTTTGAGTTGAGGGAACACCATCATTCATTCCTCCCCCATGCTCCCAAATTAATCACAGAAAGCAAAGGGGAAAAAAAAAAAACCCTTGTATGAATAATGACACAAAACTATTAAATAGCTCTAGAAACATTAATCAGAAAAACAACAGCCGCACAGGACTGTGTTCCAGAAACCCACTCACTCCGCGATCTTAGCGAACAGCAAGACCGTGGTTAACTCACCTCAGCATGGGGAAAAGGAGGTTCTGGAAGATACACCTTTGTTTGTTTATTATGACACAACCTTTAAGAGAAAAGGGAAATAAGGTGGGTTAGAGAGCTGCAAACGTCCTGCAGTATCTGCTGCCACCTACTGTTCAATTTTTTCTGCAAAAAGCCACTTCATGTCTGTGGCATCAGGTGAAAAACCCGTGATTTGTTTTGTTGCTTCCAGTCTTTCTGCTTAGATGACCAATACCTAAAGGAGACGACAACTCAATCATAGCGAGATCACTCAGAGAAGGTGCAAGACAGCTGCAGTAATTTTGTACACACTATGTAACACAACTCCTTTGCTGCTGAAGACAAATTTGTAACTCAACATCCACGTCATTTCATAGTCCAGACCTCAACAGTTTTTGCAAAGCTGAATCACCTGCCAATGGAAAAATTCCAATTGCCTCATGCCACTTCTCAGCAGTAACTTGGTCCTTTTGCTCGTTATAATCTAATTCCTCTATGCATTTTGTTATTGCAGCTACAATGTTGGTAAATTGCCCCTCACCATGGCATAATGCTCACTGTTACCTGCTATTTTACATCAATTATTTATTTTTAAAACACAAATACTAAAATTTGTTGATTGCCTCTAGCCAGACTCCTGATTCATCCTATTACAGAAGTTAAAAAAAGATATTTGTGAGAGGCCTGCGTGACACTGCAATTATCTGTAGTGACACTTTCCTGGTGTTTTTTTCTGGGAAACACTACCTGTCTCATTCTTTGTTCACTTTATTATAAAGCAATAAGTCCAGGTCAACCTAAATTTGATCACAGAATGGTTGGGGCTGGAAGGGACCTTAAAGATCATCTAGTTTTCAACCCCCCTGCCATGGTCAGGAACACCTTCCACTAGAAGTCTAACACAAAGAGCAGGACATTTCTTTTAGCTGACTAAATAGTAGAATTAGAAGGCAGGAATTCCTGAATTTCAAGCCCAGTTCTGACCCCAAACCTCTGTTTTACAGATGTTCAACCTCTGCCTCCACTGCTACCTAAGTAAAACATTTACCTTACATGTAAGTGTTGGGAGATTAGCTAATGTTGGTTTTGACTTTTGAATATAAGCCACTACAGCAAAGTAGAATTCAAAAACACAGTGTCTGAACATTTGGGTGTCTGAATCGTGCCAGCTAGATGC